GATAAATGGTGATGGAAGGAGACTTGACTTGGGGTGGTAAATGCACAATACAATATACAGATGATGTATTATAGAGTTATACACCTGAAACCAATATTATTTTATTAACCAATGTCACACCAATAAATTCAATAAAAATTTAAAAAAATATTAAAGTCACAATAAAAAAAATTACACGAAATTTTAATCAAATCAGTCAATAAATACAATCAGATCACCAGTTTTGTTTGATAACATTTCTATTCACATTACATAATACTACACTGAGAGAATAACTTATATATAATAATTTGAAAATGTCACATATTCAATTTTGTGATTTTAGCATTTTAATCTGTATTTACCATGGACTTTGAGGTTATATTTTTTTTCTGTGGTCCCAGCTTCATTGACTACTACACAGATGTACTCCCCATTGTCATATGGTGTAACAGAAGCAATAACCAACATTGTGCCTTCGTCCAAGACAGAAATACCGGGCTCTCTGCCTGTCAGCTCTCTACCATTCCGTAACCATTTGATGGTTGGTTTGGGAGTACCTAAAAAAGGAATTAAAGCCTTGTGATATTTTACAACAAAATTAGAAATCATTATTAAAGATCCAGTATACTAGGAGGAAATAATTTGCACCCTAATATATATGCTACTTTCAAGATAATTTCCCCTGCATGGGCACCTCTAATTCCTGATTAGTCTTAAGAGACCTATGATCTCTAGTGTAGAGTTTGATCAAAGTTAATTTTATCAAGACATTCAGATGACAGTAATAAAAAAAAGCATTTTCTTGTGAGTCATGGTGCTCACTGGGAAAAACTATATTAATCAAATAGTTTAGATATATGAGGAGTTTTTGGTTAAAAATAAAGGAAGAGGGAAAATAAGATACTATCAAAGAAATAAACACGAAGATTGCCCAACCAAATAGACTGCATAAGTGATGTAATAAAATGATGCTTTATAATTCACATTTTAAATAAGCCTGATAGAATAGAGATGAGAAGTAATGGGAAAGAGCATGAACTATATGGAAGACAAACTAGATGAGGCAAGTTTGGAGGAGCAGAAGGTCTTTTCATTGAAGAAAAAACACCTATTCAAATAGCTGTTATTTGAAAGAGGGATTAGTTTCTATTATGCCCAGGTATTATAACAAGAACTCTCAAGTGGGATTTTATGAATTGATGTGGGCTCAGTGTAGAAGGAACAATATGACATTATGCCAATGCCCATATGTCTGGGTATTACACACCTTTTGCAGGACATGGGAATGCAATGCGCTGATTGGCCACTCTTTCTTGGAATGGGGTGTTATATGGAGGTTCCAGATCTTCCAGTGTAGGTGGTTCTATTAGAAAAATAAATGTATTATCTCAGACTTGGACAAAAGTACCATGCTGAGTTCGATACCTACTTATCTTTCCTTCTTGCCTTTGCATTGGTATTCTCCCGGACCAGGAATGTTCTTCTCCCTGATTTCCACATGGCTGGTTCCTTAGAGTCAATAAGTTCTCACCCTAAATATCACCTCCTCACAGGAGTCCTAACTAACAATCCAACCTAACATAGTCAATTGCTAGGAGCATCACCCTATTTTAATTTTCCACCCAGCACTTATTAGAATATGATCCATATTTTTATTTATTTGTTTGCTTGCTCTCTGCCTATTCACAGTGGGACAGCTCACAAAAGCAGGTGCTTTGCCTTTGTCATGACTTTCTCCTCACTGCCAAAAACAGGACAGACACTTGGTAGGAGCTAGATAAATATTTGTAGCTTGAAGGAACAATTAATCCCTCTAAACAAGGCCAATATCATTACAGCGAACCGTGGAACTAGATTTCCTAGGGATCAATATTGAGTGCACCCTACCACTATCAGGCGAAATCCTACTCTAACTCTCTGCCCAAAATTTTTCCCAAACCAGAGACAGTGAGTGGGGCAGTGATCTGGGATTGATGCCATCATCTATATCATTCATGGCAATTTCATTTTCACAGGTAAACATACAAATATGGAGGCCGGTTTAGTAATAGCAGGATTTCATTTCTTTCTAGGATGGTTCTCCTTTCAAAGCTGAGTAAAGAGTCTTATACAGAAACCTTCTGAAAGTGATCCAAGACTATCCAGGACTATATATTGTGTATATAGTCTCCAGCCATTTTCTCCCACTCCCAACCCCCACCATACATTTATCTCCCTGTGCCCCAAATCACCTTGGACGTGGAGTGTTATCTCTGTTTCATCGCTGCCTGCTATGTTAGCAGCAACACATGTGTATGCTCCGGCATCTGAGAGCATGGCGTGGCTGATGCTTAACATCCCACCTGGATGGCTAACATGCTGGACTCCATCAACCAGCACGGCGCTTCCACCTTTAAACCAGGTGATGACGGGAAGAGGCGTCCCCTGAGCATTGCACGGAATGTCCGCTCTTTGGCCAACTTGGACTTTCAGAAGTTTAGGGCCACGCTGTATCTTTGGAGGAACTGGAAACAACAAGTGAGCGTCCATAATTCAATTTTTAAAAATCCCCTTCCTTTTCTCACTTTGAGTGAGAGCTCCTGACCAAGAGGCAGGATGACAAACGGGAATAACCCCGGGATGTGGACCCAGGCCCAGGCCACTTCCTAACTCTGTGCTCGAGGGCCAGTTGGTCCGTTTCCCGAGGCCTGTTTGTTTGCTATTTGTAGCTTGAAGGAACAATTAATCCCTCTAAACAAGGCCAATATCATTACAGCGAACCATGGAACTAGATTTCCTAGGGATCAATATTGAGTGCACCCTACCACTATCAGGCGAAATCCTACTCCAACTCACTGCTCAAAATTTCTCCCAAACCAGAGACAGTGGGTAGGGCAGTGATCTGGGATTGATTCCATCATCTACATCATTCATGGAAATTTCATTTTCAAAGGTAAACATACAAAAATGGAGGTTGGTTTAGTAATAGCAGGGTTTCGTTTCTTTCTAGAACGGTTCTCCTTTCAAAGTTGAGTAAAGAGTCTTATACAGAAATCTTCTGAAAGTGATCCAAGACTATCCAGGACTATATATTGTGTATATAGTCTCCAGCCATTTTCTCCCACTCCCAACCCCCACCATACATTTATCTCCCTGTGCCCCAAATCACCTTGGACGTGGAGTGTTATCTCTGTTTCATCGCTGCCTGCTATGTTAGCAGCAACACATGTGTATGCTCCGGCATCTGAGAGCATGGCGTGGCTGATGCTTAACATCCCACCTGGATGGCTAACATGCTGGACTCCATCAACCAGCACGGCGCTTCCACCTTTAAACCAGGTGATTACGGGAAGAGGCGTCCCCTGAGCATTGCACGGAATGTCCGCTCTTTGGCCAACTTGGACTTTCAGAAGTTTAGGGCCACGCTGTATCTTTGGAGGAACTGGAAACAACAAGTGAGCGTCCATAATTCAATTTTTAAAAATCCCCTTCCTTTTCTCACTTTGAGTGAGAGCTCCTGACCAAGAGGCAGGATAACAAACGGGAATAACCCCGGGATGTGGACCCAGGCCCAGGCCACTTCCTAACTCTGTGCTCGAGGGCCAGTTGGTCCGTTTCCCGAGGCCTGTTTGTTTGCTAAGCCAGGCAAAATAGCCTCCCCCACACCAGTACCCTGCAAGGACTATGGGACATAATACATGTATAACGCCTTGCTCGAAACTTGAGGAAGAGCAAGCACTTAAAAATGTTAGGTTTCCTTTAATCTGTAAATGACTTGAGGTTTAAGACCCTATTAAAAGGCGATCAAGATAATTTCTATAATATAAGAGACTAAAACAAAAAGCATTTCTCTCTAAACATTCTTAATTTTTGTTCTCTTTGTGGAACCTTTAGCCAGACAGTAAGACAAGGTTCTCATAAAGGACTCTGCTAATTTCAGAGAAGAAAATCAAGATAAAGTCTCTATTATTTCTTTTTACCTACCCTCCTATAGAAATTTAAGTGAGATAACTTACCAAAGCACTGGTATGTATTATTGGGTTCCACATACATGCAGTATGTGGTATAGAATCAAAGAGACTCATAAGGATATAATCAGGATTTATATACCTTACCCCCCTAAAAAAATACTCATCTGTCCCTTCTTTTAAACTTAATATTTAACCAAGACTTTCTACAAGTTGTTACTAACAAGAAGCCTTTAAGTTTGATAATATTATTGCCATTATTTCATGAAGGAGAAAACTAAAGACAAGAGAGGTAAGGTAATATGCTTAGTGCCCTAGGACTAGTAAATGGAGAACTCTCATCAGATTTCAAATCCTACGACCAATAGGATACTATTGTAATTAATCTGGGAGTGAAATCAAGTCAATACTATCTGAGAAAATTTCTTCTATTTAAATACCCAGCACCTACACAAGGCCTGGCTTGGCTTATGTACACGCTAAGTATGCATTGGTTGAATGAATAACTGAACAGACTATGATAAATTGAGGGAATAAAGCAGGCTAATTAGTTTTAAAGTAGTTAAAAAATCTAGGAAGCAGAAATGTTCTCAGTTGCTGAGCCCTCTGAATAGTGGAAATGACCATTTAACTACTATTAAATTCTCCCTTGAGAACTCACCTTCACTTCAAAAAGCCACCAGTCTGAACACATTTTTATTACTGCACAACAAAAATAGTCAAAAGTCACTGTAGACATCTAATACGATTGAGATCCAAAAATTTAATATTGTTCATTTGAGGGAAAGAGGAGAGTTGTTTACAGATGGCAGATACACTTTTCAGAGTCAATGAAAGAAAATCACACCTCAGATTTGAGAAAAATTTTCTCTAATTACTCTATGTACAAATTGGAGGTTACTATCAAAGAAACTAGGAAGATGGAGCTCCCTGAGGCCAGTACACCGATATCTACGCCTTCATTTCAGAACTCACCGTGAACACTTAATTTAACAGACTGAGTCACGTTCCCAGCAATGTTTGTGGCCACGCAGAGGTACATCCCACTGTCTGAAACGCGGGCCTCTGTGATCTTCATTGAGCCAGAAGGGAGGAACGTGTGTCTAAAAGAAAGAAACCACATAGTTGACTACAGAACACAAGAATTTAAATAGCCCCCTATGCACTGTGGAATTACTACTCTGCAAGCAGGTTTTGAAACTGTTTTCCCAGCTATAATGTCTTTTTATGTACCTTAAAAGTCAGCTTACGTGCATAATTATCTTGTGTAGTCTGTATGGTGCTCTTGCAAATACAAAATCAGTTTTATTTTTCTTTTAAACCTAACCTAATGGTCTGAGATCATCAAGTAACTGCACATCTCTGGTTTATCAAGCTGCAGGTATACAAAGCAAATGTATATTTTAGTAAATTGTTGAATACTTTATTCTTTTTCTACAAAGTTATTTAAAATTTTAGTGTGCTAAAATCAAGGCAAAAGTAGGTACATGTGTAATTCTTGAATATATATTGAATATATTCCTCCTATAGAACCATAATGTAGTCGGGTGAACCACACCCACATATAAAAACTTTATTATATTAACTGCACTAAAAACTTTATTCCATTAATTGTACTAAAAAACAGAGACAATAAACAAAGGAATGTTATTAAGAACAAAGGCCCAATTTACACATTCAACAAGAAAAAGGCAAGTCACCGAAAACTGTGCAGGATGTTTAAAGAGGCAATTCTTAGATAACACAAATGGCTAACAAGCAAATGGAAGCATTCTGGGCTCCTTGGAAGCCAGTCCCATGAAACCAAGACAGAGGCAAGATATCATTGTACAGCCATCTGACTGGCAAAAATGTGTAAGTCAGTCAACATCATGCATTGATTATAATGTGGAAACAGGTACACCTAGATCCTATTGGTGGGAGAGCTAACCAGTACTACCCCTTTGGAGAGCAATTCAGCAATGTCTACAAAGCTGAAAACAGGAATTCCTTCTGACTGGAAATTGTAGTGCTAGGTACAGGTCTTAAAGAAACTCATGCATGCCCTGACCAGTTTGGCTCAGTGGATAGAGCATCGGCCTGCGGACTCAAGGGTCCTGGGTTTGATTGCGGTCAAGGGCATGTACCTTGGTTGCGGGCACATCCCCAGTGGGGAGTGTGCAGGAGGCAGCTGATCGATGTTTCTCTCTCATCGATGTTTCTAACTCCCTATCCCTCTCCCTTCCTCTCTGTAAAAAACCAATAAAATATATATATATACAAAAAGAAACTCATGCATGTGTATATAGAGAGACGTATAAAAAGATAATCACTGAAAAGTCTTGTTTGTAAAATCAAAATAAAAAAGAAAAAGGAAAAAAAGAAAGAAATGGAAAGCAAACAAGAACATGCATGTCCATAAATAGGGCAATGTATATGTAAAATGTAGAATATATACATATATATGTTAGTTAAGTTGAATAAACTAAATCTATATGTATAAAAATGGGTCACCATTAAAATAATATTATTAATATAATAATATATAATATGTTACAATGGCAAATTAAAAACACTCAAAACAACATGTAAAACACAGGCCCTGGCCAGTGGTTGGAGTGTGAGTGCCATGCTGAACACCAGAAGGTGGAGGTTTGATTCCTGGTCAGGGCACATATCCAGGCTGTGGGTCACATCCCTGGATAGGGCATTTGTGGGTAGCAACCAATCAGTATTTCTCTCTCACATCTATGTCTCTCTCTCTCTCTCTCTCTCTCTCTCTCTCTCTTTCTCTCTGCCTGTCACTCTAAAATAAAATAAAAATTAAACACAGAAAACAATGTTCTATTCCAGGGGTCCTCAAACTATGGCCCGCGGGCCACATGCAAATACAAATATTGTATTTGTTCCTGTTTTGTTTTTTTACTTCAAAATAAGATATGTGCAGTGTGCATAGGAATTTGTTCATAGTTTTTTTTAGACTATAGTCCGGCCCTCCAACGGTCTGAGGGACAGTGAACTGGCTCCCTGTTTAAAAAGTTTGAGGACCCCTGTTCTATTCTATACTATGCATGTGTAGGATGCACACCAAGTCTATGGCAGTGCTTACCCTGGGAAGAAAGAAGAGATTAAGGAGGGGAACAATGAAACTTCAACTTTATCTATAAGAGTATTTCTTTTATTAGAAACTATTCAAAGCAAACATTTTTTTTCAAAGAAATAGTAAAATTATGCAAAGTTCTTCTTGCTTATCTTTTCTCTCATTAGTGGAAGAGAATCTACTGTAGCATGAATTTATATCTTCATAGCTATGCATCAATAAGTGTAACAGACAATAGCTGAAGGCTATAATTCTTATACCACCAGTAACTTTTGGCATAATACTGAATTAAAATAGTAATTGCTATCATCTTTTTAGAACTAGAGACAAGGAGTGTGTAATATATATTATCTTATATAATCCTTCAGGGAAGTATTATCCACATTTTATAAACAAGAAATCTGAGGCACAGAGATCCAGTGGACAAACTGCCAAAAGTTGCAGGCAAGCTTTAAGAGGCAGAGGTAAATTTAACATCGAACAAAGGTTGTGCTCTTAAAGGCTCTGGCGTTCTGCTTCCCATGTCACTTGGCTTATCAAATATATTGTCTCCGTGGGCCTTTATTTGTACAAGGGTTTAGTCAACAAGATTTTTACAAAACCATCCAATAAAAATCAAATCCTAATCCTAGACATCAGAGTATCTATTGTGTTTTATTCTCTGGTGGGATTCATGGAATCTACGTGTAATATGCACTTTGTGCCACCATGAATCTCTGTACAAATAGGCTCCGTTTTAATAACCACCTTGTCAGATGCACCTGTGAAAAATTATGTTATAGCTGAGTGTTAGCGTTTCTGATACTAAAGAATGATCTAGAAGGCATATCTAGTTTCTATAGGCTCAAATGTACATGTGACTCACCTCAAACGCAAGTTGTTTTTTGAAACAACTGAAAAGAGGACTAGGTACAACCCTCTACCCTGAGACACTGTTACCGTGGGTTGCAATTCATCCCAGATTTCCTACCTTGGAGAGAATGGCGAGATGAGCTGGCTTTCTTTGGCCCAGGTGATTATGGGTGGGGGCAAGCTCTTCACTTCACAGGGGAGGGTCACCTCTTCCCCCGCAAGGGCAGCGATCTCAACAGGCTTATCGTGGGACAGTCCTCTTTGATCTCCAAACACTCTGGGCCTTACTAAAATAAATGCATGTTTCAGAAGGGAAATAGTACATTGAAAACATTCAATTTGCAATACAATGTGGACTGCAAATATTCTTAAATCACTTATAAAAAGATACTGCTTATTTCAAAGGTTTGGGGGCATATCTAAAATTTTCCAAAAATGCATGGATTGTCAGAGCTGAAAGGAAAATGACTAGAAAGTTTCCCTTTTTAGCTCTTCCTTGACCATGGAGAGGCCAATTGAAATGCCCTCTCAGAGTCTGCCATCTGTAAAAGGAACCCTGAAGGCGGAGCGCTAACCAAGTCACAGCTGAAATTTGGCTTCCATGGGAGTTTTAAGGAACTGGTGTTTCTGAAGAGGGTTGGGTGCAATGAGCATATTCCTTAAGACAGTGGCCAGCAAACTGCGGGTTGCGAGCCACACGCGGCTCTTTGGCCCCTTGAGTGTGACAAAATACCGACTTCTGCGCATGGGCCACGAAGTTTCAATTGCACTGTACTTGCGCGCCCGCACGTGGTATTTTGTGGAAGAGCCACACTCAAGGGGCCAAAGAGCCGCATGTGGCTCACGAGCCGCAGCTTGCCGACCACTGCCTTAAGACAAAACCACAAAATGTTTCCAAAAGGCCATGCAATTACTCTCCCTTTAAATCAGAATCTAAATAGGGGAGATGTTGGTTGGCAGTAAGAAATATAAACCTGGGGGGCCTGGCTGGCATGGCTCAGTGGTTGAGCACCGACCTATGAACTGACCTATGAATCAGGAGGTCCTGATTCGATTCCCAGCCAGGACACATGCCCCAGTTGTGGGCTCGATCCTCAGTGTGGGGCACGCAGGAGGCAGCCAATCAATGATTCTCTCTCATCATCGATGTTTCTCTCTCTCCCTCTCCCTTCTTCCCTGAAATCAATAAAAAATATTTAAAAGAAAAGAAATATAAACCTGGGGGAATAGTTCACTTTAGGGCATAGCCTTCTGGTAACATTATCTGGGAGAGATGTGAGTTTTGGCACAGAGACAGCATGGGAGAAAGACATTCCTCCTCAAGCTCTCACCGTAGACGGTCAGCTGCACTTTCCTTTTGGCGTAGCCAGCAGCATTGGTGGCGGTGCAGACATACTCCCCACTCTCCTCGCCCCCAGGTGACACCACATACAAACTCCCGTCAGCCCCCGCGGAAAACTTAGCATTGCTGGTGGAAATCAGCTCGCCTTTCTGCAAAACACAACCCAGAGCAAAGTGTTTGAGATAATAAAGAGTGACTTCATGTCTGGAAGAGGAAGAAAAAAATTCTCTAAGGGGGGGAAAACACAAGATTAAAAAACACACGCTGATTTGAAGGAAGTTATTTGCAAGAAAGATTAAACAAATAAAGCAAAGGTGGTAGTTCTTCATATCAAACTATGCCCCTTTCATCCCAGAGCGACTGAACAATGGAGGGATCATGCTGACAGTAAGGGAAGGGGCAGTGCCCATGCTAAGCCAGGCACACTTTTGAGCACTTCTCATCAATTAACTATTTTCGCTCTCACAACAGCCTTAGGAATAGGAACTATCACAACCCCCACTTTACAGCTAGGGGGCAGTGTGGAGTCACAGTCAGTCCCTGGGAGAGCTGGCTTGCAACCCCAGCAGTCAGTCTCAGGAACCCACATGCTGAACCTCTGGGCTTGGTCTCAGCACAAAGGCCAACCTGGAAAGAAGATTTCCATTTTACATTCTCCTAAAAGGTGCCCTAACCTTCTACTCGGTAGCAGACTTGGGATCAGCTTCACTGTTGTACGTTTGCATCCAAATGCAGAAATCAACTTTTTTTTTTTTTTACTGAGGTCAATACCAACTCCTCTATATTTCAGGGGGGTGTTTTTTTTTTTTAGACGTAAAACATTAGATGGTATGACACAGTACTTTGGTGTAACAGTAATTATACAAACGCCACATTTCATTATTATGCCATCATTTTATATTACTTTATATCTGCCAAGTTAAAATTAATTTACAGAAAATATGCCATCTTCATGGCTGTTCAAAGATGGGAAGGACATCCTCAGTAAATGAGCTTTTCCTCACTGCAAGAACACAAGTAAAAGCCGTACAACTTCAGGGCAGGGATATAGAGGGGGACTAAATGGGCTCGTATATGTGTCTTCCCGGAAGAGCAGAGTCTGGGACAAAGATTTGGAGGCAGTAAGGTTACTTGGGACGTAGGGCTTGAGTGAAGCACAGAAGGATGGAAAGCTAACACAGGGCTTCCCTGATCTGTTGCCGCTGTGGCTGGGCTGAGAAGCTTCACTGTGCTGGGGACCCTCCAAGAAACTGGGGGATGCATTTCAGAAAGACTCTTCTGATGGATGAGAAGTGAGGTATTTATGTAGGACACCGGCCCCCAACAGGAGTTATTCCCACTGCACTTCCTGGACACCTCTTAGCAGGTTGAGTGGCCTTGGAGAAAGTCCTGAGTCCAAACTGCATGACACGTGACCTTAGCGGAGTGCACGGAGCTGTCCACAGAGATGCGCTGAAATCAAAAGGGCTTAGGGGAAGTGGCAAGGGATAAAATGAGACCTGCGACCACATGGAAGGTGCTTAGAAAGTTCCAGGGCATGCAGACAGTGCTCTATTCGTGTTCCCTGTCCTGTTGTGAATACCATTCAAACATCAGGTAGGTGAGTGTGATAAGAACATTGTACGGTCCCTTCCAAGTGGTATGACTGCATAGATTTTCCTTTTTGTAAGGTTTTATGGTACAGTCACAAGTTGCATGGATGACTAATAATATTGTTAGAGCTCATAACATGAACACACATCACTCAATGTGCCATTTACCTTGGACCAGGTGATAGATGGTTTGGGAATGCCACTGGCTTTGCAGGGTAGAGTTACTGGGATGCCTTCAATTGTACTGAGTATCTGCTGCCCGTGCTGAATGGTTGGCAGGACTGAAAAAGGAAGCAATATTCAGAATCTGAGCATCTGTCCTCTCATTTAGTGCTATAGCTTTAAAGTTGAACATTTTTAGGATTTCCTGACTATTTGTAAAAATTAGCAAAGACTCAACATTTTCTGATAGAAACATAGGGTAATTTGTAAGGGAGTGTAATAAAAAAAAGCAAATATAATAGTTATGATCTGAAGCATTTAATAAAAGTTTAAAATCAAGGAATGACTTATGTGTAATAGGTTGACTTTTCTAACAAAAGTAAGAGAGGACTGAGGAAAACCTTTTTGCCCCCATGGACACTCAAGATAAAATTACATCCTAAGCATTGCACATTGAGCACCTATCTTTCATCATTCTCTATCACTCAAGCTGCAGTGAGCTGACACAAGCCTACCTCAGGAGAAAACTCAAGATAAAATTACATCCTAAGTATTGCACATTGAGCACCTATCTTTCATCATTCTCTAGCACTCATTAAGCTGCAGTGAGCTGACACAAGCCTACCTCAGGAGAAATGGGCTCTTTAGACACCACACACATTAAATATCTGTCTACACCCAAGAACCACTGAGTGAGCTACTACATTTAACCTGGAAAAAGGGGATTTTATTAAAAAGGAATTCAACAGTAAAATTTGAAAGGCTTAGGAGTTTACATTTAAAAGACTAAAATAAAGGATTCTAAGTCAATGTTTTTAAGAATAACATATTTTGACTTTAGTAGACAACTGAAGAATTAACATTATATGAGTAGAAGCAAAAGGAAAAGGAAGCATGCTCTACATCCCATGCTGTGTATATCTCCATTAATTATCATCAACTTGCATATAAAAGCTATCGATAATCAATGTCCTCAAAGTGATGAATTGGATTTAAAAATCTTCCATACATAGAAGTTCCCAACCTGGTGCAAGAAACACAATAAAAATTCAACAATACCAGGCATTTGCTTTCCTTCCCATGGGAAGATGAGACTAGAGCTCAAACCCTCACTGTGTCTCTTGTCTTTATGTCAAAATTTTCTAGAATTATCACAGCTACCATGCAGCAGAAATTTATCAGAACAAGAGATACCAGAGACCTTAGTGCAAAAACTTCCTTGGGAGGCTTAGATTAGCTTTGCTACATACTCATATTTTCCGAGGGCTGGGTTTATTCTTTAGATAATTTATTCCTAAAGAATTGGCAGCAAATCCCCAAGAATGTCAGGCTACTCTCTAAAGCAAGAAATGGAATTTCCAGGATCATCATGGATTAGTCAGCTTTCAACCGTGCTGTCATTTTGTGGCCACATGGAATAAGCCATATTCTTAAATCCATATTGAGTTTGACAGCTATGAAGGAAAGTAGCAAATTTAGGCAATGTTTTCAAATCTGATGTCATCGGAGTATGGAAGAGCTGTTTCTTTCCAGATTGTCAATCTATGTAAATCAACATGACAAGAAAATGGTTTATTTCTCGTTTTAATTTGCATTTATATTTACATCCATTAACTCATTCTTTTAAGAATTGATTGAGAGTCTTTAGTGACGATTCTTAAAAGTGATGAAAGAGCGGTAATGCTTTTTAACATAAATACAGAACCTGAGACTTTGTATCACATCCAGCTCAAAGACAAATCTGTGGGTTAAATGGATGCTTGGTTGAGTTAAAGTCAAATGGCTGGCTGATGTTTCTTTAACCTTATTGACTAAATCAGTTACTCATTTTGGACTAATATGGATGAAATAATGTCCAAATGACATTTTAACCTTTTCCTTGTTAAAATTTATTGCATCAGGATAAACTATATCATTGGTTTATGTCTTCTTCCCACTCCTCTGATCTTTTCAGACATCACAACTAATTGTGTCCAAGTGAAAATGTGCCTCAGAATCCTTCTCAACACCATATTCTAGGCAGTTGATAGAAGCCAAAGGGAGATGACATGAATGTACTTCTATGCTGGATTCTCAAACCAGTCCATAAACACTCTCCAGGAAATATGTGAACTGATCTTTGAAAATAGTTCAACACAACTATATCCAATTCTCTCTTTCTCTCTCCATATATATGTTTATTTAGACCATAACTAATTTAGTATTATATTAGTATTTCTTCAAAATAATATTTCTTCAAGAATAACTCATATGATATTTGTGAAAATTGGTCTAAGATTGAGACGGTAGAAGGGGCTATTTACAATGAGAAACAGATATTTTTTAAAAGATGCTCTATAAATGTCTAACCATTGCTGTATACCTGAAATTAATACAATACTGTCAACTGTAATTAAATAAATTTAAAATTATTTTTAAAAAGATGATCATTTTAAAAGAAGATGGTCTGCAGCCACTGAAAATTTCAATAGACCAAGCAAAACTTGGAAATTACTGCATTCTCCAATTTATGTCCTGAAAAAAAGATTGAATTATCCACTTAAATGTTCTGTGATACTTTCATCTGTGTACACAGAACTCTTTTGTAATACCACACTTTACGAAAAGCAATGTTGCAAAGTCTTTAAAGGGAATAGATTAAAAAAAAAAGTTAGGATAGTATCTTAAACTATGAAGCTGTCACTTATTTATCGAGATGTAAAAACTTGGTAAATGTTAGTCATGAAGGGAAAAAGCTAGCTTCTGGATTTTCTTACTTGTGACTGTTAGTTAACATGCAAAAATAAAAGATTGTTTGGAGCACATCGGTGACCTTTAGAAAAGCTGAGGTCATTTCTAGCTAACACACAAAGGAGTCATTAGTAAGGACATCCATGTTTCACAATCCAAAAAGAAAAGGCGATTTAGATAGTACGATAAATTCAGCTTGCCTGAAATTAAAATGTATTTTTAAACATAACTCTTTGAGAACTGAGTTCACTTTTATCAATTAAGAAACCTCTTTCAAAAGCCCATGCCAGACTCAGCTAGGCGAATCTCAATAATGTCTTTCTGTGTATATAGGAAAGGATAATCTGGAAACAGACTGAACCATGTAAATATTATTCAACACATAAAGCTTCTTTATTAACAATGACAATCAGGAAAGAGATCTACTTGTTTTAACCAGAGGAACAGAATTCTTTGACTAGTAACTATATGAACCCAGCTTCGACCGTGGCTTGGAAAGAAGGACAAAGGGTGTGTCTCTTACCATGCACATCCACAGTGGTTGTTTTGTTAATGGTTCCAGCAACGTTACTGGCCACACAAGTATATTCACCTCCATCCTGAAGGCGAACTCTTTCAATATGGAGACTCCCATCACTGCGTACGGTGATGTAAGGATTTTGGACCAACTTAAAGAAAAAAAAAGCCATTTTTAATTAAAAAGGCAATGTTGCCTAAGCCAAAATGGAATCTGCTTTTTTTTCAATTGGGTCATTAAATGTCTTATAAACTAGCAAAATATTCTAACATCCTTAAGTGAAAAACGCAGAGCAAAAATGTTACCAAGGGTAGTGTCAATTGTATGTCATGCTGATAAGCCACCAAACATGATACCAACTAACATCTGTGAGGGCTGTGCACACACTGGAAAAAGGAGGGGAAAAACAGGGATGCTGCTTGTTTGTTGTTTCTGTAATTTTTATTATTACTCAGGACCCACATTTCCTTCGTATTTTTACTTTTGGATTAACTTGTTCTTTTGCAAGAAGTCCTTATGATCACTTGCAAGCCATTCGATATTTTTATTTCGGCCAATAGGCACTTATTCAGTGGGCACTTGCTCTCGACACCCACCCTTTTTCAGTGACAGCTGCAAATATTAAAGGACCATGTATGAGACGGGAAGAGTGTCCCCTCCTTCCTCTGTAGCATTTATGCATTTTGCGTCATCCCAGGAGACCCTGGTCCTCAAAGAGTATCACCCTATGTTATGGGGGTATTTCTTATGGATTGAGATATACTCATTTTCTCAGGTTTGTATGCAAATATAAACCTAGTCCGTGGGCTCAATTCACTTCTGATTGGTACTTCAAGAAGAGAGTGAGTCTAACTGCTCTGGAAAATGGAAGAAAAATGCTAGGAACTAGGTGGAAGTGTATTGCCATAGATAGCATGTTACAGAAGAAATCCACAGAAATGAGAAAAATCTTTCATATCCTTTCACAATTAAAAGGTGAACCCTAAAAAACAATGACACAAAATAAGATTCCCACTTTAAAATTGTTCACAATATAAGACACAACGTTTAAAGTTAATAATAAAGATTAATATCTAAAATGGAAGAATTTTATGAGAATATTAACACTTCATTGTCTTGCAAAGAAGTATATGAAAATAACTTCATACTTGTTTCAGTTTTTACAAATTCTGAAAAGAATGTATTTTATTAAATTCAATGCAAAATTATAAAAATTACACTATTGACTATTTCTCCATCTTACTAATTGCAAAGTCATATGAATTACATAAACATGTTAATACTGAAGAAAAGTTTTGGTGCACTTACAATATATATATTTTTAGCATGTTTATCAAATTGAAATTGCAATGGTTGGACTACATTGCCTCTTACTCAGGAAAATTAGAAGGTGAGTGCATGCGTTTAAAATGTTCTTACCGTGGCTGAATTCTTAATCCACCGGCGTTCTGGAATGGGATTCCCAGCCAATAGAGCACAAGGCAAAGTAAGCTGCTGTCCTTCGATTACACTGGTCACTGAAGGGCTGATTCCAATGAGGGGAGCAACTGAGGCAGAGAGAGCACAGGCGCTAAGGACTCTATGTCAGCCAAAGGAAGACAAACTCTTTCATAGGCCAATATGCCTACTCAGTAAGATATCTTAAAAATAACTTTTCAGGAACAAAAATTTAAACATGTAAATGGATATGAACTGGAAAATAGAGATAAAGGGCCCTTCTAAGCTAAGAGAATGGCAAGAGGACAGGTATTAGTATAAGTAAGAAAGTAAAATAGAATACACCTATGGCATGGGAGGCCAGAAAGGTCAAGCTAAGAAATTGGCAGAGTATTCAACAGACAGATGGAGAGTGGCTGAAAGCATTTATAAATAGAAAAGAGGAATCACCAGAACCATTTTCAGGAAATACTAATCTGTTTCTATTTTGTTTGCTTGTTTAGTATGTCCATTAGATTCCACATAGAGGAGAAATCCCATGGCTTGTGTCTTTCTGACATTTCACTTAGCACAATACTCTCCAGGTCAATCCATGCTGTCGCAAAAGATAAGATTTCCTTCTGAAAACCATGAAGAGGACTTATTGGAGAAGGGAAAACTTATTGGAAAAGGGATGAGATTGGTGAGGGGACTCAAATAAAATGAGGGGACTCCCTGAGATGGCATGGTAAAGAAGTATTGTAAAGTATTGTAAAGATGTACTTTTCTAGAAATCAATGAGTAAATCTGACATAAGTCAAAGCAAAATCCATAAGAGATTCTACTTGGAAATTTTAAGTACATGTAGATGAATAAAGGGAGATTCACAAAGAAAAATTTATGAAAGTGTATGGATGAGGAGCAGGCTCTGACAGATTTAAAAATCACACTAACTACAATGAAAACAATGTAGAACTTGTGCATAAATAGAGTCCCAAGGAATAAAGTAGGATACAAATTCAGCATGTGACCAAATGGGCATTTTAATCAGTGGGAAGAGAGTATTCAATAAAAAATTGAAACACATGTCTTAATACTTAGAAATCTACTATATTATATTCTTACTTTATATCATACACAAAAATAACTCCATGTGAGATAAAGTAATAAATCTGTAAAAGGTAAACAAAAAGAACACCACTGCTCTCATATGTGTGTGCATGTGTATGTGTGTTTATATTTAGACTTAGATCAATTTATTGAGATTGACTTTCATTTCTTCACATGAAAGATGAGGAGCTTGGAGCAGATGATCACTAAAACTCTTTTTAGTTCTAACATCTTATGAAATATGAAATACAGTGGGGGAGGGAAGGTTAATCTAGTAATCAGATATTCACCTGTTTCTCTAAAATATAAAAATGGTACAGGCAAGAGATGATGTAGCAAATGAAGTCTGATGGTTTGGAAGAGTGTGGTGTCTAAGCAGTTAATGGATCTTACCGAGTCCTGTCACTGTTATTGTTGTCTGGGACTGGATCTTTCCAAAGTGGTTTTCAGCTTCACAGATGTAGGTTCCTTTATCACTTGCCCATAAGTCTAAAAATAAGAGATCATTTACTCATTCGACACCATCCCTGGAGCATCAGTTATGTGCTATGCACAGTGCTGAGAGCTGTGGGTGGATAATATGCTACTGCCTTCTGGTAGTTCCCATTCTAGGGGAGGAGGCATACACAGCAGCCAACACTCACACAACAGCGTGATACATGCTGTAATATGAGTTCCAAACGAGCTGTGGGAACAGAGAGGGGAGTGACTGATGATGGCAAGGGGGGGGCGAGTTAAGAAAGGCTTAACAGAGTTGTACCTTAAACAGCAGGTAGAGTAGAGGGAGGGCAGTCCAAACTCAATGGGCTGCAAAGGCAAAAACACGACTTAAAAAATTAAGGTCTATTCAAAGAATGGGAAACTGCACCACCTCCCTGGGGGCAGTCTGGAGGTTGCAGGAGAGATTTCTTTAGTCGGCCCAATGAATAAAGGAGTCGGTTGGCATTTAGTGGTCAAACACTAGGGAGCTAATGCATGGAGTAGATTCACAAAAGGAATAATTATCCCAAGTTCAGCAAGACTTCTGAAGGTCCAACAGGAAACTCATGGATTTGAAGACTTTGTTTATAATTATAGCCTAAGCCTACAACCTAATTCTGGGTAAGTAGGAGGAAGAAGGTACTTTAGCAAGAATTACCCTCCATTTGAAGAAATCACTTCACCAGTTTGGAGTTGCTGAGTCATCAACCCCATACTCCTGTATCAGTCTACATTTAAGCTGTCAAATTCATGGTGATGTACATAAATGTGTATGCATACGGTATAAATGTTACCAGCATATTCACATAGTAATTGAAATACCTATCATTATAATAAAATTACTTTCCTTTATTTTCCTTTGTGCTACATTTTGGATATTAAAATTATTTTTATAATGTAGGAGAGATCAAATATATGGAATTTTTCAGGATAATGAAAGGGATATTACAAAAGATTTTTAATTAGAAGGGTTTTGGGGGACTAGGGTGAGGACCCCTGGGTTATAGGTTGTGTGGATACAGTCAGGAAACTGAACCTGAAGAGGTAGCTGGTGACTTATAAAGAGTGTGGTTTTGTCTTGTGAGCAATAGGGGAGGCAAGAGAAGATTTTAAGTAGGGGGAATGACTGTCATCTTTGTAAGGATCACGAATGAAATAAGCACAGCTTAATTGATTGATAAGGTTTTGACAGAGAACAAGGTAGCTTTCCATTATTAATAGCTCCACCACCTCTCAAGTAAAGAACAGTGACAACAATCCTATTCCTCTGTTAACCAGAAGCATATTGACTGCAGAACAGCATTTGGGAAACTCAGGCCATGCCCATTCTCAACAACAGCAAACCTTCATGTGCAAAGGACAATACAGCAAATCGCTGGTTAATAAAGCACACATTGCTCCTAAGCAAGGTATTTTTTATATTATCAACTCTTGGACTAATTTGTACAGAAATACCACATACTACTGAGAACTAAGTTTCTAATCACTAGTTTCCTGCCCGATGATTTAATTTGGACAAATGGGAACTCACTGGTCAATACATTGCCCTCTTTTATTCTCCCTGTTCTTTCACCTCCTCTAATTGACTTGTTTACAGGTCTAATTTGTTTCCCTCTGGACTGCCTCTCATCCCACCATCACCCTACCTGCATCACTATGTGAGCCTCATCCCTCTCTCTCATCTCTCCTCCTATCCTGCACAGTTTTTCTGAAACAGTATTTTCTTGCCTATGAAGATCGGGGCGGGGTCGGGGGAGGGGTGGGGGGGGCTCTCTTTTCAATCTCATTAAAGGCATTTTTTCACCTGCACATTTCAGGTCCTGCACAATGTGACCCAACCCAGTGCGCATCTCTCGGTAGGCACTTCCGTGGCCATCCACTCAGATAGTGGATTGTAAAATGCCTAGGTTAGGGACCCTATATTTGAGGTTTGTCTTCACCACAGAGCCTAGTACAGAGCAGAACACTTAAGCACTTGTAATTAGACAGTTGTACTTGTATTTGAAAGTTCAAGTGGCTAATGTACATTTAAGATTGGTACTAACCCTGGAAATCAATTATTGGAGGCTTGATACAAAATACTCAAAACATGCAATTACTTTTTAAAAAACCACTTGATCATCTAAATGTTGTTACTCCTGTGGGACCACTATCCAAATAGTCTATTTTAGAAAGTACACAGTGTTTATAAATATCAGAATGCTTAATAGTTTACAGATAGATCTTTTGTATGTTGAAGTATTTGACATTTTATTTTAATCTTTTGCTCCAGGTAGATATAGCTTTTAATCAAGAAGTTTCCATAGGGTATAGGATCCCTATGCATGTGGTTATGTATTTTTTTGGCCAAAATAATTAACATTCACTAACTACCAGTAATATTTTACCTTTCTCTACAATAGCTGCTCCGGGAGTCAATAAAATGTGATCACTTATCCACCCAGAGACCCAGGTGGCTCTATTTGCAATAGGGAACAACAAGTTATGTGGAAGTCAGATTGCTTCTTGAGCCTTTCTGATATGACATACATTTAAATAATATAATTCATTTATGACAATTCCCAAATATAAGAGTCCAATGCTAGCTTAAAGTAAAATGCAACCAACACCATTGGGTTGGCAAGATTAATTCACTATTTTAAACTTAGCAACACCTATGCATAGAACATGAATATATAATCTGTATGTACATACTTGAATAAAAATATATTTCCTTTAACCTACTTGAAATAAAGAGAGCTCCTGTTCTTAGTTGGCTGATGGAACTCACTGAAAGGGGTCTTGAGAAGATCGGCATGTTGTCTAATCTTCGCCACTTAACCTTTGGTGCTGGATAGCCCTGGACATAGCAAGGTAAAGTCACATTTGAACCGATTTCCATAGACACGTCAGCCGGTTCTTGTATGAAAACTGGAGGTGCTAGAAGATATTTAGAACAACAACAACAACAAAGGTCATTGGGATAGTACGCAGGCACATTAAATATAAAAATTTAATTATTAAACTGTCAACACAGTGAATGTGAATCAAACCACTGTTCATAAGTTATGAAGTTACCATTTTAATATTCCTGTCTGCTATTGAAATAGCAGATGTTTCTTTTTCCTCTATAAATGAAAAGGCCCCAAGAACTTCAACTACCTATTTAAAGTGATGATGAAGAGTGAGAATTTAAGTCAAAATTATTTCTGACTCCTTTTAGTGAACTTAATTTATAGCAGAGTTCATTCTTCAACAGATCATTATATAACAAGCTAACAGGATTTAATCCCAAATCATATCCATTCTATGTCACATTCTTTCTTTTCAACTATTTTTTTTTCACATTTTTGGGTTAAAGACATTTAAGCTTGAGAATTAATAATACAAATTAAAGTAACTGATCATAGTATTTGATAAAGTAAAGAGTGCTTAAAATTTAAGAGTTAAGAGATGACTCAGAAATTATAAAAGTATAGATAAGAAGGCTATAATTATCTACATAACTCAGGTAACCACATAAGCCTGAAGGGAGAATTGGAAACATGTCAGGCACACCTTGGAAAACACCAGAATGTAATATAGTAAGGATGCTAAGCCTGAATAGTTGAGGCTCTCAGTATGTCCTCCAGAACTATGAGCAATGATGTTTGAAACACCAGGCAAGGAGAAATATATACGATACTGTGATACTATTGGAGGTAACTCATGAAACCTGATCATGTAGGACTCTAAGAGGTACCTCTCCTTTATAACGTCAAGGTTAAATATTCATTAGGAATTACAATAACTTTCACTTACAGGGCCAGGGATGGGTGTTGAGTGATGTCCATTAATTATCTCATTTAATCTTCACAATATATGAGCTAGGTACTCTTATTCTTATTTATAGATGAAGAAACTGAGACACAGACAGTTAATTTGCTAAGAGTCAGATGGAGTCGAACACTGGAGCTAGGATTGAAAACCAGGTTGATCCGACTTCAGAGTTGAAATTCTTTGTCATGCTATCGGCCTCTCCTTTTCTATGGGTTCTTAAAATTGCTCATAGTTACTAGTAAGCTGTTTAGCAGGCTAATTAAAATAAAAAAGGTACAGAGATCACATCACCTCTTTCCTTCCCAAAGGGAAGTCTGGGACTGGGATGTACGTTTGTCTTCCGAGCAGCACTAATTCTTTATTGGCCTGGGATAAAGAACCTTCTCTAAATTTGCAGCCTCATCTCCCATAAGGTTCCTACACAAATCCTATTCTCTGGACAATCAGAACTCTTCACTCTTCTCCAAACAAGGACTGACCTTTCTCATAGGGGTGCCTGTGTTACTTGCCATCCCTTTCAAATGCAATGTCTGCCTTTGATCTTGGCTCTTGAAATATTGACAGTTCTTTAATCCAGTCCAAAAGGCCCCTCCTCAGTGCCATCTCTTACCATCCAAATGAATATAATTCTTCCCTCTTGAGGTTTTAGAGAACTCATTCTGTACCACTCATGGCAATGGCCATATTCATCCTTTTATTAGATTATACATTTGATTTCCCCTTCAGGGTTTATTTTTGCAACCCTATTTTTATCTTTCATAGCAACTAACACAGAACTATGTGCATTATATATGGCCGCCAGGTCTTTGTGAATGATTCAAACAATATTAAAACACTTTAACAAGAATTATGTGTTTGTGTATGTGTATATGATGATAATAACAACCTTGATCCAGTGCATTTTAACTTGCATTTCTCAAGAAAAATGACAATTTCAGAAACCCTATTTGTTCACAGAACCTAAAGAAAATAAAATTAAGTTAAATACCACAGTTGAGTAATGTGTTTTTAAAAATTAGCAGCAGTGTATCTGTTTAAATTTTTTTAATATGGTTTTTTAAATTGATTTAAGAGAGGAAGGGAGAGGGAGAGATAGAAACATCAATGATGAGAGAGAATCATTGATCTGTTGCTTCCTGCACACCCCTTACTGGGAGTCGATTCCGCAACCCAAGCATGTGTTGATCCATGAACCAGAAGGTCAAGGTCTGACCAGGAATGGAACCTTGACCTTCTGGTTCATGGATCAACACTCAACCACTGAGCCACACTGACCAGGCTAGACTTTTCTTAATCCATCTACATGGGAATTTGGTTTATAAAAAGAATAGGCAAAATAAAAATATTTTAAAAATAGTTTCTAAATTAACTCATTGTTTGCTTATTCTAGGTGTATAAGGCCTAATTACTTTTCTCTGGAGTGATAGCAGTCAATTATTCTAGAGGTAGTTGCTTTTCTGAAAAACAGAGATTAAATGTAAAAGTCTCAGGATGTGTTAGGCTCAGAGTGGGCGTAGCTGAATGTGGAGATGGGATGGAAAACAAATTCCAGAAGAACAAAAAGATATGCAAAAGCCTGGGATCAACCAAGTCCTTGGGAGGAAATCAAGCTTGCCTGACACAAGAGAACAGAGCCATCAGTGGAAATGGAGACAAATTAGAATTTTCAGAACTAAGAAAGCCAAAACAAACTGGAATATAAATGCGTAAGTGGAGCTCAAGCTGTGCCCATAAAACTCAATTAAGACAGGAGAAGTCATCTGGGGAGAAGCAGCTTCGGAAACAGTGTCAGGTACAAGACAAGCACTAGGTCAGGGAATAACATACCGGTAGCAGAAAACAAGGCAAATGAGAGAACCAGGCGCTAACCAGGTAAGCAGCCAACACAGCATCAGTGACAAGTGAAGCTCAAAAATTAAACAACTCCAACCTCAGGCCAAGAAGCCGCCTAAATACTTCCTACTCCTGAGTGTGGCCAATTTGGACTCCAAGTGAATAACTTTGGGTGGATGGGAAACAGATTAAGAAACAGGGGAAAGGGAGCAGAAGTGATTGTACTACAAATACTGGACTTGCTCCGAGGAGGCTGCGCAGCTTAGAGAAGTTACAGCCCACTCGGTGGTTTCAAATGGCAGTTCCACTACTTTTTAGTCTGTAAACTTGGAAAATGACTTTACCTCCCCCAGTCTAAATTTCTCCATAAACAAAAGGGGAGAGTAGCATTTCTTATCCCAGGTTGTTAAAAGAGAGAATGTTTATTAATCATTTAGCAAGTAGTTACACCCAAATAGTAATGACCTTTGGTCATAAATATTGTAGAGTTCATTTATGAAATCATAGTTGTGGAGTTTAATGTATCTATTGTTAATTTCGACTTTGGCTACGGCATATAGAGTCTGGCAGGATTATATTGAATCCTCTGTGGTCCCTGAAATATTTGTGTATAGATACCTTGACAATTGCTCAGGGTTGATGCACGTAGAGCTTTGTCACCTACTGATAGATATCTGTGTGCACACATTATTGTGAAAATATAGAAGTTACAGACAAATTGACCATCTTGCTCTAAAACTTATTCCTTAAAGTGATTCTGGTTCCTTCAGCGATAATTAATCTCCGCTATGGCAACTCTTGCGTCATTATTAGTCAAACAGAGATTTTTCTTGCCTAACATGGCTGAACACACTGTTTTGTTTCTACCAAACCACAAAAAATGAAACCACAGTCTACGATGCAAACCCTGTGTGGTGTGGAATGCTGCAAATGAAATCACTGCCAGGCCAGCTTTGTGTTTGATGTGGCCAATCTTCTTTTCTTCCAAACGACTTCACAATCCACTACCTCTCTTTCAAACGCATGAAAAGCACTGGTAACTTTCCCCGTTGACCTGAAATGTCCACAACTTAAAGCCATATAATGAGAAATACAAAAAAGGAGACTCACTACAATAAGCTAGAACTTAAGAATAATATTAAACAGTCTTTTTAAAATAATATAAAGTAAAAAATTGTTGATGTCGTATAATTGATGTGCAGTAATAGGCCCACAAAGACAATCTGAAAACACAATTACATGACATGGATAAAAGCATGTTTTTCTTCTTAAGTCATAAGCTACTGAGCTCTATGCCCAATCGTTTTGGAACTCAAATGAATAATTTTATGCACTAATAATATTAGTACTTAACTTGTCTCAAGACTTCAAAAAAAATTAGTGAAAACAATGACTTTCATATTAAAAGCCCAATGTTTAATCTTAAATACTATGCCACTGTTATATATGCATTTCTTTAATATTTTCCAAGACTCAAAGAATCCAAATGACCACTCAGGTTATGAAGTTAATATTCACCTATTGCTCTATGTCCCATTAAGCAGCTTCAAAGAACAGCAGTAACCACTGATATGCTAGATGCACATGGGAAATGATGTCTCATTTCATCTTTACAACCAACCCATCAGGTAGGTACTACTAAATGCCAGACAGAAATCCAGTTTCCAGAGTCCATTCTCTTAGCCACGATATAACATTCTGGAGAAATTTTGCTGTTGTTTTTGTTGTTTGTTTGCTTTTAACTCTAATAGTGCTAACCACAACCGCCACCGTGACTGTAATTTGCACCAGATCTTGACAGAAACATCCTGTATCTCCTAGGATACGGAACAGTAGTTTTATGTGGATAATCAAACTGTGTAAGCCAGAACAATCAGGACTTCAATGGTGAATGAGGAAACAGTTCAGGCATGACAGAAACATGAGGGGCTGACTTTAATATTACTTGACAATTTTAACAATAATTAAGGTTACAGTAAGTAAATAATTGAGTTTATGTTAGTGGTTTCATCGGAACAGTTGATGAAATAATAGTTGAGAAAGCCACTGACTTAGAAAGGGGCATCTTGAATATGAGTGAAGATTAAAAAAAATTCAGTTTAAGGAATAAAGGATACATACAAAACATTCCTTAGGATGTTTTCTAATCCAACACAAGTCGCTCCAGCAGACAGCCCTGATCCTTATACGGTTTATCGCTACCCAGAAGAGAGAACCTGGGGAAGTCCAGAAGCTAAAAAGATTATCAAGAAGGAAGTAGGTAAGCAAAGTAACATGTGTTAGATATTTAATTTTCTATCTTGGAGGAGGATGAGCGGGTCCTTCCCTTTTTTGCTGGGAAAATTACTGAGGCTCTTTCCTTCTTCCTCTAGAGCTAGTTAACTCTAAAAGAATGTTGTCTGCCAGGAGAAGAGAGAAATAGAACTAGAACATGTAGAGCATTGAAATGTACTTAGTAGATCTCTTGAAAACAAGAATTCTGTACCTAGTGACCTTCCTCATTTGGACCTTACATTTATTTTTTTAAATATATTTTTATTGATTTTTAGAGAGAGAGGCACATCAATCTTGCATGCCCCCTACTGGGAATCGAGCTGGCAACCTGGGCATGTGCCCTGATCCTGAAGGGAATAGAACCAGCAACCTTTGGTGCACAGAACGACAGCACAACCAACTGAGACACACCGGCCAGGGCTGGACTTGACATTTCTAAGAGCATTACTTGTGTTTTACACTCTGCCAGTGGATTTAATACCCTCCACCCAGAGATTCCGATCTTATTTGCAAGGCACTTCTCTTCATAACCATAGAGTTTCGTCATGGCTCCATCACATCTTGCTATGCCCTAGGCCAGTGGTCGGCAAACTGCGGCTCGCGAGCCACATGGGGCTCTTTGGCCCCCTGAGTGTGGCTCTTCCACAAAATACCACGTGCAGGTGCGCATGTACAGTGCGATTGAAACTTCGTGGCCCATGCGCAGAAGTCGGTTTTCGGCCTGGGCGAGTCTATTTTGAAGAAGTGGTGTTAGAAGAAGTGGGGGATGGACATATAGAGAGGATGAACGAAAGGAGATAGACGAAACAAGTATACAAGACGAGTGTGGATGGGAGAGTTGGAAGGCGTTAACCTCAGCGAACGTACCTCAATCAGATACGTTCTAGCTTTAGCAAAGGCCAGCTTAGGAATACCCTAATTAAGTTAATAACAATGTACCTACCTATATAGTTTAAGTTTAAAAAATTTGGCTCTCAAAAAAAATATCAATCGTTGTAATGCTGATATTTGGCTCTGTTGACTAATGAGTTTGCCGACCACTGGGCTAGGCAGAGCCCACATGGTCTTTGTGGCCATTCCCAGCTCTGTGGATTCTACTCCAAGGGCATAAGCACCAAGAAGACAGTGTTCACCAGACAGCCTAGGGACAAGGGGACCATAAAAGATCCCAAGAGGAACAATTTGGTTTATATGAAACAAAATATTAAGCTTAGCGGGCCATGATTTTCACTTAAAGACTTAAGCTAGTATAACTAAAATGCTTTATGTTTATTTTATCCTAAAAATGCATTTTCTTTATAGTTCCTAACTTTTGCAAAAACAAACAAACAAACAAAAATAGCTTTGGCATGAAAATCCTGATACATGAATGAAAGTACAACTTAATGAATGTCATATTTTATAAGTCTACATTTGAATTATCTGTTAAAATGAAGCCGCCACATTCTTTTGCATACAAAGCAAGCTCTGTTTTCTTTCAAGTGTTACCACACTGTGTAGAACTTCCCCCCACCCCCCCACCCCCGCCCGCCAAGAAATGTGGATGGAGAGACAAAGGAGGGAGAATGACCTTCTTGAGTAATCTGACCATACTTGTCATGCACATGCTGTATCCTTCACATTGTGATTGACATTTATGTGCAGTTAGTACTTTACTTTATACACTGAGGAGTCATTGCTAGTGGATTTTTTAAAAAGGTAAATGCACCATCTGCTACCTTTGCTGTCATCAACATCTCCAAATTATGTCTAGGGCCAAAGTCTAATTTATGGCCTCCAGATGTTATTACTTAGGAATTTGGTGTCAGAATGAATGATTCTGGATTGGAAAATATTTGGCAGGAGTTGATATACCAAGGAATCCTATAGTCTCTGAAGTCAGACAACCTGGGTTCAATCATTCAGGCTCTCCCTGATAGATATGTCTGTGTGCACACATTATCTCTGTGACCTTAGTCAAGTTGCATAGCCGACTAACGCCTCCATTTCCTTATTTATATATGAAGATAATTAAAGTATCTTCCCCTTAAAATTGTTATGAGTGTTTATGGAGATAAGCTATATAAGTTCTTAGCACAATGCATGGCCCCTAGAAAACACTTGGTAAACTCTAATTACCATTATTATTTTAATAACCTTAAGTGCTAACTCTAATATTGCCTTTCTGAAAAGTATTTCCAGCCAATTGTTTCAAAGTTATGGGCACAGGGAAAAAATAGCAGATCAATTTCAAAACAAGTTTGTTTATTAGAGCAGGGATGCTTACAGCCAACATCCAGAGTTATCTTGCCAGTTGCTCTTCCAGCTTCGTTGACAGCTACACATGTGTAATCACCAGCATCGAGATCCTGAGTTTCTGGAATCTTCAAAAGTCCCACGAGAGGATCAATAATGAGAAAAGTTGAGGGCCTCAGCTCAAGATCCCCTAAGTCAAAACAAAGGGAGAGCATTAAACACTAACATATTTACATAGTTTTCTATTAGTTTGATTTCAAAACTTCTAAAGAAAACAGAATGTAAAGTTTTTAAATACAAGTGTCTGGCACAATGTAGACACTTAAACCATGTTTTTGCAATGAAAGAATGAAGTGTTTCTTGGCACTGAGCTGATTAGTCTGTATAATTCTATGAGCTAACCTATGGCCAAAAATCTGGTCCTGCATGAATTATGTATAAGTATTTCCTACTGCATATGTATCTAAATAAGAACAAACTCTTTGAAGCTACATTGGGGGACTTGGAAAGGATGCCGGCTGTCACATGGCTGTGTTAAGTAAGAAGGGCATGAGGGATGGGAACATGAAGGTGGAAAAAAGATTTCTACCATCTATTCGGCAGGATGAATTTCTGTTACCCAGGAAAGTTCAGTTAGCCATAGGTGTTCTTAGTTTGGTTAATGACCAGGTTTTGGTTTGATAAATGCTACTAGTCAGATTTTGGGTAAGCTGCCTGAGAGGATTCTGAGAGTTAGTAGAGAGGAGCTTGTTGGTAGAAGAATGGATGAGAAACTTCTGACAGTGGCCAAAGAGAGGTACTGTCATATCAATCTCCCAGGACACCTCTGCTAAATCTGTATTATTCAGCAAAGTCCTTTAAGTTGGAGTTATGGGGCTTTTGGAAGAAGCAGGCAGAGGATCCATGTATGGGGGATGGTACTACATACTGAGTTTGACTTCAGTGTGAGGATAGGATGACTCAGGAAAGCTTTTTTATGTCTGAGTTACCTGTATGTGCTGTGTCCCTGCAACACCTCAAGTCCCCTAGAACCCTTCCTGTTTGAAGGCAGGCAATGCCTCAACAAATCTATAAGGTAGGTTAACCCCTCATTTTGCTTCCCCTTCTCCAGGCTGCCTCCTCTCTTAAAAAAGTAATTAACCAGAATGACCAATATCATTAAAAAGTGCCCAGTACTGGGTATTTAATGCCAGCTTAGTGTTTATATATTTAATTTGTTTTTGTAAAGGGTCATATCAAACTCTTTGTGGAAGTACTGAAAACATCCAGGGGATTTTAAGGCCATTGCTCTTTGGGTTTTATAACATGCCCAGCTGTCTGAAAAGATATTTTCCAACATGTCACACAGTAGCCTAGCCATGTGCCCTGGGCCTGAGGCCCATAGAAGTAACTCCCTTAGCTTCTAATGGGCAAAGAAAACCCCCCAACTAGCCATTCTCTGGGACATTATCAAAAAAAACTGCAATCAACAGATTCAGGGCAACAAACAGACAATTCTCTTTTTGTTTTTTTAATTTTGGGAGGAGAAGAGGTCAAAGCAGCCATAAATTTAAAAACACAAAAAAATTACATTAGCAACCGCCAATGCCAAAAATGAAGCATTTTCAGCATTCCAATATTTAAAACCCCAGTCATCCCTTTAAGCTTGCTACTACATACCAGGCGAGAAAGAGAAGCAACTAAAGGCTTGTCTATGTGCCTTTGGGAAATTTTCATAAATAAAAGCAGATGATGTTGACATAAACTTTCTTCCCACTAAGGGAGGATGCAATGTGACCTAGCTGTTCAACAGGAATTAAAATATTTGGACTAAAATGCATTTAGATTTTTGGAATTTACTTCTCCCTTATTTCTTCTGTATATGTCAGAGAACATTACAGGATGAAATAAAGACCTTTTCGCTAATCTCCTTTTTTTTTTTTTCCTTTTCAAAATAACATTCTTTGAAGCTAAAATGCATTTAGATTTTTGGAATTTACTTCTCCCTTATTTCTTCTGTATATGTCAGAGAACATTACAGGATGAAATAAAGACCTTTTCGCTAATCTCCTTTTTTTTTTTTCCTTTTCAAAATAACATTCTTTGAAGAATAGCAGTAATGAAACAAAATACCAAGTAGAAAACATTGGTTAATCAAGTTTGCAGTTTGATCACATTTTAAGAATCTCTCCTTTCTTGATTTCTACTGAAAAATTAGTCACCAAATTATTGAGGAGCCATAGAGAAATACAAAACTTTAATATGTTTAATAGTTCAGAATGTCATACATAGTAACATATAAATTTTCTAGGATTTCACATTAATATTGGGGAGGGGTCTCTTTGCTGTATTTAAAATTTAAATCTGGCCTCTGTGATGTAAAGACTAATAGAGAGATCATTATTCTTAATATAACATCTTTTAAAATAGTTTATGGAAATTAAGTGGTTCTCAAAAATGTTTGTTTCCATGTTTGTCTTAAAAATTATTGGGTATTTCAAAGCATTTAAAAAATATTTACTTGCACTTTATTATATTTACTTGTATTTAGCATCTTAGAAAATGAAACGAGAAAAATTTTAAGTATATGAATATATTTTATAATGACAAACGCATGGCATTTTGATATAATGACCGTATTTTATGAAAAAATAATTGTACTTCCCCAAACAAGAGAAATTTCATGAGAAAAGTGGCATTCTTTCACCTTTTTGCAAATCTCTAGAATAATCTATTTTATTAAAAAAGGAGCTGAGTGTTCAAATTTGCTTCTGCATTCACTTTACTGGATGTCACATGTCACAAATTCCCCCCAAAACTCTACTATAAATCTTGAGACAACAAGTGTGAAAAAGACAACATCTGAGTATTACTAGGAAAATAATTTTGATCTTGTGGATTCCCTGCAAAGGACTGTGGGGAATCTGCAGGGATTTGTGACCAACTCGACTTTAAGAACCACTGATTTTAGCAGAGATATCCTTTATATAACATTGTAACAGTGTCCCCAATTCTCCTTTGAACCCACTTTATGTTGCTCATTTCTAAACATGAAAAATCTAAAGTTTTGCTGGCCATTTGTACTTATGAAATTCCATTTCTCTGAGGGTCTGAATGGAATACAATTTATTAATAAATGGTGGCTGCCGGGGGCTGGGTGTGGGCAGGGAAAATGGGTGTAAAGTTTCAATTAGACAAGATGAGTAAGTTCTAGACACAGTGCCTGTAGTTAACAATACTGTATTGTACACTTACAAATGTATTAAGAAGGTAGATCTCATGTTGTGTTCTTATAATAACTAACTAACTAAACAAATAACCCAACCACCAACTCTGTTCAACCAGAATTGCCTGAAAAGAAGGTACGAAGAAAACGTATTCTTCTGATTAGGGTGATAACCCTTCTTCACCCCTGGGGTTTCCATCAGGTAGGATTTTCCTAAGCTTCCCCTGCAGAGGTGAGAGGAAGGTCCAGTTGCCTCCTCCCCCTTTCTCTTTGGAGCAGTCTGCATGGAGTAGAGCCTGGTCTCTAGCTTTGCTCCTGATGAACAGACTGTGCTTATGAGTAAGCATTAAAGTAAGTTGGCCGAGCCTGGGCTGCAGGGCCACTCTGCATGTTGTCCATGAACACTGGCCCTCCACTATGGTCTGTCAGCATCTAATGCACATCTTCTAGTTCATAACTTAGAGCAATGGGATATTATTTCTGGGCCCATTAAGCTCCAACATCTATGACTGAGAGAAGAAACTGATAGGTAGTCAACTCTAGAATCTTCCATGTGGTAGCTGCAAGGCTCCCTAAGTCCTCCTTTAGTTTCCAAACCATTTGTGGGACCCAGGCTGACACGAAGAGTAAGTTATACAGGAAAGTTGCCTCAGTTTGGGAGAATAAACGACTTTCTTCGTGACTGCTATCTACGGGCAGGGAAATCAGCAGGCTCCATTACCCTTTAAATTTTTTATTTTATTATACATTACTAACTGACATATAAAAAAGAAGTACTGCCTCCATAACACATATTTTGTATCCATTTAATTATGATGTAAACTTGAAATTGATTTCTAATTCCTTTATAATTCAAAGGTTTAAGTATTTTAAATAAGTAAAATTAGTTCATATTAACGGAAATTAACCTAAGAAACAAATCCAGAAATGCTTCCTTATCAGAGAACACATAAAGACTAAAAATCGTTTAACATGGAAAACCATGAAAATGGTATCATCTCCCAGTTTCCCTCCCTGTTTTTGACTTGTGTTGTTTAAAAGTGTTTGTTTGCGACACAAAGCCTTCCTTTTCCACCTCATGTTCCCCAAGCATTTGAACCCGAGGTGAATTATTAATTCTGTGATTATGACATCAACCTGTTGCTATGGAAATGTCTGTGATTTAACAAACAGAATCATAACAATAGTGCTTTGTACTATTTAGCATTTTTCATCTGAAGATTAAAAAGTATTTTGAAAACAGTATCTGAATAATCCTAGCAACCTCCCTGTTAGGGTGTTTGTGGGAATTTTTCTTTCTCATGAATTGGAAGAACTGAGACAGAAACAGAAGCAGAATGTTTTACACAGATACACTCTGTCAGCATCTGAGCCTGGACCGGGGCCCACGTGTATTCCCACTAAGGGCAAGCAGCACATGACTGCTATTTTATTACAGAATCACAGGGGTGTAATCTCTATGTTACAAATATAAGCAGACGATTCCTATACTTGACGTAAGTTCAATGGCCAGTGTCATTCAGTGTTCAGCGTCAACGTGTGCTTACTTGAGCACTTTATAGAAAGTGTCCTTGAGGACCTAGAAAACCTTCTCATGGGGAGAGCCACTGTCTCTAAGGAAAGCGGACTGAACTCAGTGAAGCTATTTTAAACGTTAGCTGGGTCCTTTTGGACACTTTTTCTACAGGAAACAATCCTAAACTGACACGGAGAATGTTCAGCTGGATTAGCACAGGGGAACTTTCCCTGCTTGCTGCGCTGGGTCCTGTAATCCACACCAGATGTCAAATCCTGAAGTTCCAAGTTCAGAATTTCAAACGATTGTCTCCGGTGTGATCATAAACACATTTGGCGGGGCTGCTAAGTCACACACAAAAACAAACGTCTAACAAATCATTTTTTTTTTTTAAAAAGAGAGAAAACAAAACTACGTCCAGACATGAACATACTGAAGAAAATGTACCTTTGAACCATTTCACTTGGGGCGGAGGGACCCCGGAGGTTTTACATTCCATCACCGTTGTGTCCCCCAGGGCAACCAAGAGCTCGCTCTGAACTACGATCAGCTTGGGGGCTTCTGAAAACAAAAAACACGCAAAGAGTTAATGTCTACACAAAGCCATGCGCACCTTGTCCATGTTTACGAAAGGAACCAATGCAAACGTCTACCATGACTTACGGGCTTGTGGCTATTTCAGTGTTTATAAACAGAAAGAAACTCTTAGAAGCATATATATGCACATAGATGTGTGTGTGTTGAAAAGATCAAGCCAAAAGAGAATACCAGGCAAAAACAATTCTGATAAAACAGAGTCCAAAAAATTTAGAAAATGAATAGTCTTTATGAAAAAAAAGAGGTATATAAGGAAAGAAAAAGTTTGGAAAGCTGAATACATCTTATAGAAATAATACTAAAGGAGCAGAAAGAAGGATAATAGTAATAGAAATACAGCAAAGGAGCGATGATGGTAATACTGAGCTGGCTACACTAGGACTTGAGGATAATATAACTGCAAGTGAATTTGTTATAACATTTCTGTGTGATTTAAAGGATATTCGTGTTTAATGACAGAGAGATAGTTGTAGGCCAAGGTTAAAATTTGCATCTATAAAGAGTACTCTCCCAGTTCTGACTCTGTTGTTCTCTTTGATGCTTGCTTCTTCCCTTTGCCTGATGCTTAGGTTCACTCACACATTTTCCTCTTAACTGGACATTTTAGATCTTTCTAACATCCATTGCGATTTGTTTAAACAAAGCCAAGAGATAGCTTCTCAAAAATCACATTTCTCCTCTATTAGAGAACCTTCAGGTTTTCATAATTCCCTAGTTTGGTTTTCAAAAATCATAACCAGCCATAGCTTTACCCTCCAGGACAGTCCTTTACTTATCACAAGGTATGGACCTACATGGGCAGTCCAGACCACACCCTACTCTCTATCTTCCTGCTTTTGCTAAAGCTGTTTCCTCTGCCTGAAATGTCCCTTGTCACAACTCTAAATCCCACTCATTCTTCCAGACTGAGCTTTAATCCTGTGTCTTTTGAGAAGTCTTTGCAAATTCCCCAGTAGAAATTAGTCTTCTGTTCTGCCTAACTTCCACTGTGGACTTAGCTGACTGACTGCCTGATTCTATTTCTTTAAGTGTATCCACTCCCATTACGCAAGCTCTTGAAAAGTAAGGACTCTGGGTAACATGCATTTAAAAATTTTATACTCCATATTCTCCAGCACCGCATTTTACATATCCGGGTGATAAGTTAAATAAATGGGTCCAATAGTTTGGCTTCTTTGAAAATGAACCAAAATTTGTTTCTGCAATGAAGAATCTGTTTCAACCTCCTTTCTGCATTCCCAGCGGTCTGTTCCCTCTCCATCTGGGTGTTCTGGGAACATTTTAAATGATCTCTAAATCTGAGCCCTCTTCCTTCTCCACTTATTTGCCATGTGCCTTGCCCATTTCTAGAAACGAGACCGCTTCTTTCCCAGCTCTCAGCCCAATATTTATGCCACTTTTGTTACCTCCCTCATCTATACACACCAACTATAACTCTCAATGTTTACTATGGATCTTTTACACCCTTCCTCTCCACTGCCTGTTTCACTACCTTATTATGAATGGCAAATAAGAATGAATGAAAAGGAGGATCGCTAGCCATTAATTATTCAGTTTACAAACTAACATTGAACATGTATGCCATTGTCCTTTGTTTATTTAAGGAAGACCAAATTAAAAAATATTCTATTACATAGTATATATTACTGGAATGTGTAACATATATATTAGAATATTAGATTACATCATATATTAGATTACATTATATATATATTAGAATATATTTTCTTCTATTACATTGTGGAATGTTATATTATAGAATAATTGTCATGAAGTGCATCTTCAATAAATATTTGAGTTTGGAGGGGAAAGCTGAAGATGAAAATTGAAAATAACATCCAGACAAGATAAATAACATAAATGGTATAAACATTTACTTGTGACAGAAATGTTAGAAACAGTTTTGAACGCAAGTGGGAAATATAAAATAGAAGTTGAGCCCTAACTGGTTTGACTCAGTGGATAGAGCGTCGGCCTTCGGACTGAAAGGTCCCAGGTTCGATTCCGATCAAGGGCATGTACCTTGGTTGCGGGCACATCCCCAGTAAGAGGTGTGCAGGAGGCAGCTGATCGATGTTTCTCTCTCATCGATGTTTCTAACCCTCTATCCCTCTCCCTTCCTCTCTGTAAAAAATCAATAAAAATATATTTTAAAAAAATAGAAGTTGAGGTAAACTAGGAAATATATTGGATTGATTAATTAGCAAGTGAAATACTACAGAGACCAGGTGGACCATGGAAGGACAGAGCTCTGGGTAATCTGGAACTCTTCCACACTCTGGAAGCTTCCTTGATAATTCTGCTGACTAATGAAGCTATTCACTCCCTGACTTTTAACTTAAATTCGTTACAATGTTTGCTTTCATCATTGTGTGAGAATGAATAATAAATTAAAAGACTAGGCATAACTCATTCCTATTCTTAATTTTCAGCAAAGTACTTTTACCTTGCTTAACATGACATCCATCCTATTTTCATTGCCCTTTAAACTGATTATACTTGCCAATGTATCTGAGGGTAGAAGTCTGTTTATCTGTTCCTGCTGAATTACTTGCCAGACAACCATAGATCCCTGCATCTTTGGGAACTGCATTTCTGATAAATAAGGTACCTTCTGAGGTCATCCTATACCTGTGGACAAAAAGAAAATAAAATAGAAAATACCCTAATAACTGTCTCAAGGCATCTTTCTTCAAAATATCTTCAAATATTTTAGAGTTATATTTTTCTACTGACTGCAGAAATGATTAGCATTATCATTTTACAAGCAGAAGAGTAATATTAATAATTAATAATAATAGATCCTATATATCCAGTACTTCTGTGAGCCAGGGATTGCTCTAGGAGCTGTACATGTATTAATGGTTTGCATCTTCAAACAACCCAATGAGTTAGATACTATTATTATCTCTGTTTTACAGATGAGCAAAGAGGTTCCATAACTCACCCAAAGTTAGGCTTAGTAAATGAAGGACGTGGAATTTGCACCCAGAAATCATGTTCTCTGTGAACCACTATGCTAAATGGTTCCTTAAAATAAAAACATGGGAGATGCAAGGCTTTGTGTCACACAGTGAGTCACTGATGAGTCTAGGAATAGAATCTGGCTCACACCTGAGCCCTGCTCCTCATGCCAAACCCAGAGTAACAGAAGCCCAATAGCTGGAAATGTCACTGTTTATGTTCCACATGCTCATTACACTCTTGGAGCATGAGAGGATTCAATGTCTTTTAAAAGCATCCAGTAGGAAAAAAAATATTTCAATGGAGTATGGCAAAAGTGAACAGGGATTACCAAGGATGTCTGCACACACTTCAACTGGAGCTACTGTTCTGTCCTTTGCCTCCACTCTCTCCTGTTAAATCCCAGGACCACACTCATTTCAAATATTCAAGGCAAACCAAGTGTCGCGGTGTTATGTTTGAACACAAAGTATTGGAAAGCGCTTGAGCCCAGCTTTTAAATTCAAGACTTCAGGACCTCAAGTTCTATAGATTCATCATTTATTATTTTATTGACATTTCCTGGCCTATTTAGAAAATCTAAAGGCATGGATTTTGGTCAAACCTCCCTTCACCATAGGGACTTGGTCAGATTAGTTTTGTCCAGAAATTTCATTCACTTTTCTCACTCAGTAAAAACAAAACATGATACAAACCCAGTACCTGTGTGAACCCACGATAAACATATCATTCATGGTCCAGGCGACCTTGGGTTTGGGGTAACCTGTTGCAGAACACATGATGGAGACCTCAGATCCTCCTGTGAATGATTGGTTCTTGGGCATCACAGTGACTTTGGGCGGTTCTACAAATAAAAAGAAACATATACAATGAAATGCCAACTTACCTTGATTTTAGGAGCTTCCTCAGTTAGCAAACTGGCAGACTTCTCACCACTACACCTCCTCCACTTTCCTTCCCTTTGCACTTCCAAGAGTTCATTTATAAAAAGTAATGAACAACTGAGTGTAGTACCGTTTCAGCAGACTTGCACCCCAAGGCCCGCAGAAAGGGCAGACTCTACTTTCTGACTCTCCAAGGCCCAGGATGCACAGGGGTCCTGGACCCCCAGAGCCCTTCCTCTCCTTGAGAGCCGCCTGGTGCAGGCAAGGCCAGGACCCTGGAGCCTGCCTCTGCACCCCACAGGCCTGGGGCAGGAGAGTGGAAGGACTTACCTCTGGCCATTTTTTCCAAGCCCTAGAAGCTCTGCCCATCTGGAACCCCAAAGCCTGCACATACTCCTGGATCCTGAAGGCATGAGGATGGGCACAGGCCTGCCCTCAGAGATTGGGGAGGGTCTAGTTGACTTTCCTTTGAGAGATATCAGGGGCCTGGATCCAAGGCTAGTGACAGGAAGGAGCTCGAATGAAAGCCAGGGGAGCTGCAGGAGTGGGACACAGTAATATTTGGCATCTGGGAGGTGGAGGGGTGTAGGCCCTCTGTCCATTCACTAGCCAGGTCCTGTAACCCCAGGCCTTGACTGCAGGGCAGACTGGGCACCAGGCCCTGCAGTGGCCCTGTTCTCCTGGGGTGTCTTGGACATGTGAGAGAAGGTGGTCCTCATGGCCTGGTAGCAGGTGTCCATGCACTTGGGAATGTCAGCCACCACTGGTGGGGATGGCATCCAGCACCTGCGCCTGGACTGTTCCTCGGGCGAAGAGCTTCATCTTGGGTTGTAGAAGGTGGAGTACCCCTCAGGGATGAGGGGCACCTGGATCTGGAGAGCCAGGTAGAAGACACCTTTCTTGAAAGGTGGTAGGTCCCCACTGCTGTTCCACATGCTCTAGGGGTAGACCCACATTTTGAGGTTCTTCCTGACCCTACTCTTGCCCATCACGGTCACAGTGGTCCTGGAGTACTGCGGGTTGATGAAGAAGGCGCCCTGAGGTACATTGTCAGGCCCATAGGCCCCATGAAGACTCGCTCCCTTGGGGCCATCTGCACACAGTGCTTGGGAAGGGCCCCATGAGGCCTGTCATGTCCAGGACTCTCTGGTGGTTAGAAATCACAGGGGGTCCACCTCCAGCTTCTGGAGGCCCTTTACCTCAAAGTGAAGGAATATAAGTGCTCAAAGGACAGGATGAACCAGCTGGTGATGCTCATGTTCTCCACCATCCGGCCACGGTGGTGCAGCAGGCAGATGACTGTGCCCTCTCGGTGATCCCCATCAGGTAATGAAAGCAGAAATAAATTCTCTTTGAGAACAAAATATGTCCCCGATGTCACGTTTCTGTGTCTCCAGTGGTTACCCTGTGGCTCCTTCCCCCCAACAGCTGACCACCGGCTTTTGTCTGCTAGTCCGTAACTTCACTATAAACCTGTTTTCAGCTAAAGTCCCCAGATGGGGTCTTTTGGCCTGTTTCTTATTCTGAACACAGGTTTGGAGCCACAACTTATCCTGACTACTGACTGCTTTGTTTGAACGGCTCTTTCTTTTTTATTTATTAGATTATAAATTTGTTGAGGTAGAGACTAAGTCTTTCATATTGTTCCGTATTCCCTTATATTCTACAGTATTTAACATCCCTTGCATGTTATGCAGTGACTTGTAAATAACAGACACTTAAAACTGTTGATGGAATACAGGGCCGTTCCTAACCTGTAATTTGGCTCTGAAGATTATTATGTCTGCCAGCCTCTCAGGATCATTTGCCTCATGCTCATAGAGTCACAGAACATATTAATTATTTAAAACATATTAATTATTCAAAGTTCCAATTGTATTCCACTTTTATGGCAGAAAGAGTTTTGGAAATAAAATATTAAATCAGAAATTTACTGTCAAAAAGGATACAAAAATTATCTGGGGTGGCTGAGATGTTGATCTATCTGGTCTAATCAATGACACATTTACATCTATATTACTACTAAGACTTAATTTTCAAAGAAGGGACCATCAAAAAATATTCAATAATTTTTTAATGTAAATATCCGCTACTCAATAAGATAAATAAAAGGAAATTCATTTTCGCAATGTTTGAAATAGTGGTCATGAGTATCAACAAAAATCAATAAATAACATATTATTTTTTTGCACAATTATTAAGTTCCAAGCTCTGTGCTAACTTATTTGGGATACACTGGTAAGCCAAACAGATATGCATGGTGTCAGCTTCCCATTTAAAATGGGTTTTTACTATAAAGGAATTTGAAAAATTCAGTTAGTCAGTTAGATCTGGATATAGTTATGACATATCTTCACTATAAATTAGTCTGCAAATTGTGGCTGAATTTCACTGAGAAACATTTGGTCTGTGGAATCCCTATGCATTTGAAAGAGATACAGTGGTACTGCTAGGCTAGGCAGCTGCACAACTGAACAAACCTAATTACTGCCTAATTGCTAGCAGCTTACAACTGCCCCCCGCCCCTTTTCCCTGTTTACATTGTGTTTTTGAAATAATGGTCGTTGAAGTTAATGTTCTAAGGGTTGTTCTGGCCTGTGGACTTGGTTGATAGTCTCATTATTCCATAGATTCTTCTTGGTCAACATAGGGCTGGAGAAATGTGTGAGGTCAAGGGCAGGCTGGCCATGGCCAGTCAGTTCAAATTGGAATTCCATCTGGAGTCCATCAATTCTGAAATGCTGGACTGCACAGGCCGTGGGGGTGTTGCAGACAAGCTTCAGGGGCTGAGGGGGAAAATGAAGACTTCCTTCTCTTCGGAATTTACGGAATACCCACGCTTATTCAGCCCCAGCTTCCGAAAATGAAATGTTTCTCAGGTCTTGATATAGGATCGCTGCAAAGATTCAGCAGCTCTAGGGATTTTTGTCTAAATGTGGTGCCTTCCAATGGCGTCTGCCAGAACTGACCTGGCATCTCTCCCAGCAAGAATCCCACTGGTATGCTCTGTAGTTCAGATATCAAAGTGAAAATAAATGTCAGTTTCCCAAACCAGGATGCAGAGAGCTAAGAGGTCGTTTCTCAAATAAAGCCTGGATATAGGGTGTTGCTCAGGGTCACGAAATAAGTCTGTGTGCAACATACAGATGGGATGACATCACCCTACAGAAGGTGAGAAATTTACCATTGCCCTGGGAAGAATATTCCTGCTGATGATAAGAAAATCAGACAGGATGTAGACAAACAGGGAAGCAAAACTGGATTTCCACCAAATAATAGCTGAATAAAGATGGTCAGAATGATTAAGCCTTTGCATGATTAGTTTAAGTAAGGATGTGATAGACTTCACATAATTATTTCAGTAGCTAAATTTTTTTAAATTCCTAGAATAAAAAACCCCTCATTTTAGTGAAGTTTTAATGGAACAATAACAACGAATTAAAGAACCATAGTTCAACTCTGTCAAAGTCCGGAGTCCAATTTTTGCCTTTAAGAGAAATAATGCATTTTAAGCTGGTTTTCAGTCTCTTTTCACCACCACATTCATCACCATTAACAACACCGTCAACATCATTATTATTCCCACCACCATCATCAACCATCAACACCATCATCATAAATAACAACTTGCTTTTCATTTGATAAAGCAATGGGAACATGGCACACTATACGGTATTGCAGCATTAATTCATTCTTTTTTTATTGATTAAGGTATTACGTATGTGTCCTTATCCCCCCGTTGCCCTCCCCCTTGCTCATGCCCTCACCCCTTGGTGTCTGTGTCCATTGGTTATGCTTATATGCATGCATACATGTCCTTTGGTTGATCTCTCTCCCTGACCCCCACCCTCCCCTACCGTCCCTCTGAGGTTTGAGCATGACCCTCCCCTACCATCCCTCTGAGGTTTGAGCATCTGATCGATGCTTCTCTGTCTTAATTCATCATTTACATTTCAACTAGAGCCGTGGTCGGCAAACCGTGGCTCACGAGCCACATGTGGCTCTTTGGCCCCTTCAGTGTGGCTCTTCCACAAAATACCAATGCACAAGTGGGGTCCCTTGGCCTGGCCTGTGGGATTGGGCCGAAACCAGCTCTCCAACATCCCTCGAGGGGTCCCGGATTGCAAGAGGATGCAGACCAGGCTGAGGGACCCCACCAGTGCACGATCAGGGCCAGGGAGGAATGCGGGAGGTTGGCAGGCCAGGTAGGGACTGCGGGAGGACTCCAGGGTGTGTCTGGCCCGACTCGCTCAGTCCCAATCGGCCAGATCCCAGCAGCAAGCTAACCTACTGGTTGGAACATTTGCCCCCTGTGGTCAGTGCATATCATAGCGACTGGTTGACTGCCCCCTGGTGGTCAGTGCACATCATAGTGAGCGGTTGAGCAGCCTTAGCATAGCATTAGCATAGTACACTTTGATTGGTTGAACAGCTGACCAGCCAACCGGACACTTAGCATATTAGGCTTTTATTATATAGGAGCATAACAAAAGCAAAATATATACATTTTTTAAAATTTCTCCCCAATGATTTTTAAAAGGTAAACATAGATTATGATACTAAGACTAAATTATAAACACTACTTTAAGACTTAGGTGCCTTAACATACTATTAACGGTGAGTTGGCAAAGTGAATTATAAGCGCCTATGAAAACAGCACTATGTAAGTTTTGCTATTATTAATATCCCATTATATGATAAAGTAGGACAAAAATGACAAAATGAGTGTCATAGTGTTTAAAATATCCTACTAGTAAATGATACTTATACTTTATTTGATTCTTCTGAAATTTGAGAGATTTCTAGATACTCAAAATTTATAAGACCACAATAAAAAATAAATAAAATTAAAAAACTTTAAAAATTGTATAAGAAATTTCAATGTAAGTAGAGAAATTTAGTTTTTGCACATTTTTCTGATAGCAAAAACCACGCTCATACCTATGTCACCTCGACCATG